GATCAGACTTGGGCTTAGTGCTCTTTGATCTGGATTTCCTACCTTTCCAGTGGGATCGGGACCAACCTTTGCTCCATGACCTAGAACAGAGAGACTTTTTGATCTACTGTGGCTGCTCCTGGGATTCCTACTCCAAGATATTCTAGACTGTGATCTGGATCTACTTCCAGAGTAAGAATGCCTATGGCTTGTTCGTGGCTTATCTTCAATAGGCCTAATATTTCTGCCATTATTTTCTGTGCTGTCCAGTTTATCCAAAGCGTGCTTCATGCCAGAGTAGGATCTAAATTCAATTACACCCTCATCCATGTGTTCTTTGTGAGCATCTGCATAAGTCACCTCTCCTGCTAGCTGCAAGAAATCCTTTAAGTCTTGCCAACTGCAACAACTGCACAGATTTTCCACAACAAGCCTGTATTCTGTAGGAACAGGTGGTCCGTGTCTGTCTGTGCCAGAAGTTCTCCTACTGCTGTATCCACCTCTGCCACTGCGGTTTCCGTAGCGGTAGCCATCGCCATCATGGTGTGGGACTCCAGGCATGCTCTATGATTACGATCACACGCTTGCAGCACAGCTCTTTTCCGTTCAGCTCGTCAGTGTCACCAGAGTCCTTCGGAACTCCACGACACCGTACCCATTTTTGAGGTCGATTTCGAGGAAGCAGCTGTAGCTGCTGAAAAAGCTCTGCGTGTCCTTCTCACTGACCTTGTGGCTCAGGCGTCCTATGCCGATGGGCAGCATGTCCATGGTGAGTGGTCACCCGGTGGTCAACCGCAGCTGCGGCCAGTCAGCCACTCAATTCTAATTATATTTTTTATTTAGGTTGTAAGACTGTAGCATTCCAGGTGGCCTTTTAACATAGCCTTCATTTTGTTTAACCATTTTTCTAGCCCCTAAAACTCCTCACCCTCCCCTTATACCTTTCTATGTCCAATCTTCCCCCTTCTATTTTTTAAACCTACGTTCTACTATTTCTCTCCCCCTTATTACATCCTTCCAATTGCCCATTTCTAGCTCCTAGCTACCACATGCACACCAAATTAAACAAAGATTTGAAGATAGGGTCCACATATGAGAGAACATGAGACTTTTCCCCCCTATCTGGGTCTAGATAACCTTACGCAGTATAACTTCTTTTTACAGTTCATCCATTTACCTAAAAATTTCATTTTTCTTAAAAAAAAATAATATCCCATTGTGTATATGTGCCTCATTTTTATTATCCAGTTAGAGGCTTGTGGACATTTATAGGTTGATTGCATCTCCTAGTTATTATGAAGACAGCAACAAGTATCTGTGCAACAGGACATAAGTTTTCCTAGCACATGCGCAGGAGTGGTATAGCTATCTCTGGTTCTTATACAAATCTTCAGACTGATTTCCAAGGTAGCTGTACTAGTTTACACAGTATAAAAGGGTTTGCTTTTCTCTACATTTATGGCAAATGCCTATTCAATCTATTTCATTTACAGTGTCATTTAACTCTAATGTTTCTGTTTTTTTTCTTTTTTTTTTTTTTTTTTGGAAGAAATGAGACTGCAGTACTTAAGTCACCTATTATCACTGTGTTGGGAGTAAAATCCATGACATTACACCTAGTAGAGTTTGTTGTAAGAAAATGAATGCACTTATGGCTTATTATGCTTTGAATTAAAATATCTCCTTGGTGGATTATTTTTCTTAACACATATTCTCTTCTGGTTAGTTTTTGTTTGAAGTCTATTTTTGTCAGATAATAGAATAGCTGTATTTGCTTGTTCTATTTGCTTGGAATATCTACTTCAACCCTTTTACCCTAAGTTAGTGTTTATCATTGATCTCGGAGGCAGCAAAAAGATGGATCCTGTTTTCTAATCTAATCTCTTAGTTTTGTTTTTTTTTTTTTTGTTTTTTTTTGAGTTGAGACATTAGCATTGGTAGGTATCATTTTATTTCTCTATACATTTCAATACTTTTTCTGAACACAACAGTCTAGGATGTAAAATTTCTTTCCAAGCCCTTGCTGGCTTTAAAAGTTTCTACAGAATAATCAAACATTATTCTGAACTTCTCTGCCTTTATATGTATCATGGCCCTCTCTCTTACAGTCTTCAATACCCTTTCTTTATTCTGTGTTTTTATTGCTTTAAGTACCATGTCAATGAGATGTCTCTTTTCTGGCCATGTCTATTTGGTTTTCTGTAAGCTTCTCCCCACTCTTTTTATTGAAAATAGATTTGCTTCTCCTACAATATATCCTGATTACACTTTACCCTTCCTCTACCTCTCCCAATTCTTCCTACCTCCCCCCTTCATCCAGATCAATTCCTTTTGTCTGTCATTAGACAAGACAAAACATCTAAGAGATAACAACCAAACATGACAAAATAAAATATAATAAGATAAACAGAACCCATCACATATTATTTGGACAAGGTAAATTATTTAGTATGCTTCTCGAAACTGGGTGGCAATCTCTCTTTCTAGGTTTGGAAATTTTGTGCATTTTCCAATTTTAAAGCTAAGGCTTTTCATGGTGTCTCAAAGCTGTCACATGTTCCTATCATTATTATTATTATTATTATTATTATTATTATTATTATTATTATTATTATTATTATATTTTTGGTCATTGACCTTTACTGAATGATCTAATTTTTCTACCTAGTGTCTAAGATCTGATTTGTTTTCTACATGCTACATTCTATTGGTGAGGTTTTTCGCTGAGGTTTTTATTTGCCTAATTTGGCTTTTCTTTATCAATTCTATCTCATTCTCACTACATCATACCTCGACTTCTCACACTCATTACCATTTAAAAATTGCTGACTGCAGGTGACTAAACTCTTGCAGAAGGTGAATGTGGGAAACAGCATTTATCTGAATTCACTACATAAAGCAAATATCCACATACGTTCATGGAAAGTCTGACTCTAATGAGTTAGCTACTTTGTCATACATAATTCATCTATAAGATTCTGTGACTGTTGAACCTGTTTGTAGCTATTAGGAGAGGGGCACTAGGCTAGAGTTTATATATGGAACTTAAAAGACATCCCAGAGAGAAGACTTGCCTTTTATACTATCCTACATGAATCAGAAAGCAGGCTCTCAGTATGGGGTAGTTTGATCTAGGATCCCCAGCCACCAGAACTGTAAAAAGTGAACTTCTATTGTTAAGTAGCTACCAGCTATTGTTAAGTTGCTACTTTGTTATGGATGTTCAGACAAAGACATAGGGGAATACAAGAAGTCGTTAGGTATAGAGGATAAACTACAATTTTAGCCATGAACAGAGGATAAGGGCCAATGAACAAGGAACAATAAACAAGAGTATTGCACAAAAGTGTCTACTTTATGATTTATTTTAGTACCTGAAGTTACAGAAAGAAGTATATAATTAGCCTGTATTTAAGATAGGAAGTAAGTAAGCACTGAAGTAATAATATATTGACTTAACCATTAAACTATGAAACAACCAAAATAAGGCCAAGCATTGTCTCCTTACATAACAGGAATGTTTGAGTGTGATATCTAGAAGATCACTGCCTTGCTTTTCTCAGTGTTCCAACTGGAAGACAATGTAAAGAAATGCATCTTCTAAAAACAAAGCAAAGCTGTAAGGGCTTTTTGAATATCAAATTTATTTTAATGTGGGTAATTACATAAACAGAATTACATTAATTTCAGTTTACTCTCATTTTTCATCTTTCAACTCAGGTTCAATGAGCAAAGTGTTGTTTTGTGTTTTGTACATAGAACAGCTTAAATCATATTTTCTTTTTTTTTAATAATTTATTGAACTTTATTTTATATGCATTAGTGTGAAGGTGTCAGATCCCTTGGAATGGGCATTACAGACAGTTATGAGCTGCCATGTGGGTGCTGGGAATTGAACCCCAGTCCTTTGGAAGAGCAGACTGCGCTCTTAACCACTGAGCCATTTCTCTAGCCCCCTTAAATCATGTTTTCAACCATGATTTAAGCTGTTCTATGTACAGGGAAAAACTAAAGGTGATAAGCTAACAATTGGTTTTGTTATATAAGTCACCAGTTATTGGATTTTGCTTGATAGCCATATTTCATACCACTATGAACACAGTAGTGGCCAGAATTCCATAATCCAGTGGGTTTTATTTTAAATTCATTTTTTTTCTTTTTTTTTTAATTACACTTTATTCACTTTGTATCCCCCATAAACCCCTCCCTCCTTATCTCCCAGTCCCACCCTCCCTCCCCCTTCTTCACACATGCCCCTCCCCAAGTCCACTGATAGGGGAGGTCCTCCTCTCCTTCCTTCTGATCTTATTCTATCAGATCACATCAGGAGTGGCTGCATTGTCATCTTCTGTGGCCTGGTAAGGCTGCTCTCCCCTCAGGGGGAGGTGATCAAAGAGCAGGCCAATCAGATTATGTCAGAGGCAGTCCCTCTTCCTATTAGTATGTGACCCACTTAGACACTAAACTGCCATGGACTACATCTGTGCAGGGGTTCTAGGTTATCTCCATGCCTGGTACTTGGTTGGAGTATGAGTCTCTGGAAAGACCCCTGTGTTCAAATTTTCTGGTTCTGTTACTCTCCTTGTGGGGTTCCTGTCCTCTCCAGATCTTACTATTTCCCACTTCTTACATAAGATTCCATGCACTCTGCCCAACCATTGGCCATAAGTCTCAGCGTCTGCTTTGATAGTCTGCAGGGCAGAGCCTTTCAGGGGCCCTCTGTGGCAGGTTCCTAACTTGTTTCCTGTTTTCTTCTTCTTCTGATGTCCATCCTCTTTGCCTTTCGATGGGGTTTAAATTCATTTTAAAAGATTTCTTTCAGAAAGCCTTAGCAAAGAGATTTTAAAGCAAATCAGCAACATGCACATAAGCATCATAATAAAGTATGTACACCATGTTTTGGGAGCAGAGCAAATACTGGTTTCTACCCAAGAAGGTCTATGAACAGTTCCAGTATTCTCCATTCGTTCTTCTCTGTAGCTTCTTAAACCTAACTAATCATAGAGATTCAGGAAACAAACCTTGTGGCTTTGGACTTGCAGCTGAGCGTTTTGCTGGTATCCTCCCATTTATTCCCTGAGCCTCTGTGGTTGTGTTGCTTGTTGTACAAGGTGGGCTGACCTTTGGACAGGTATTGATGCCTAGAGTTAAAAGGAAATGGAAGGTAAATACAGACAAATGGCACAACTCTTGTTTAATAAGTTTATGTTCTTCTGACCACATAACAACAACATTGCAAGACATTAGAAACACTTGTCACATATGTGCTATCTTTGATAGAGTTTCCTAGGGAAGACCTCATTCTGTGTGCTTAGAAAGTTTCATATTCACAGACAAGAAAGGCTGCTATATCATGAGCCCTCTCTGTGTGCAGAAAGGACAAAATGTAGCTGCTAGGTGATACTCTAGTGTGCAGTCAGTGACTAAATTACTCAAATAAAACATAGGAAAATACCACTGTGACTGCTGACATGGAGACTCTGGAAGAAGGTCTTGAAGTGAAATGAATCAATGCGCTCCCTTCCCCCAATGAATTACTTTCCACATAATATCCCCAACACTGGCTAGGAGTGACCTATGTTTGCAGAAATGTTGAGATTATAAGTAAACTGTCACATGTATTGAGAAAGCAAATAACCCTGAAATGCAACATGATACACAGAAAGGGAGAAAGAGTCTTCTATTCAAATTCTGATACAAGTTATATGCTGAATTTAACACTTATATTAAGTCATATGCTAATATTTTCTCTTTATAGACTCAATGGAGGCTGACATGGCAATATTAATAATAAACTAAAATCCAACCTAGGAGAAAATAAAATTTCTATGAGGAATCTATTATAACTGAAATAAATTCCTTAAATTTTAGTTTAAGAGGATATCCTTTGTTATGAAAGGAAGCTTCATTTTTGCATGATTCAACTATCTAAAGTAAAAACTATCTTTTGAAGCCTGGGAATAATTCAGAACAGCAAAGGTTAATCTGAACATAAACAATGCTAACAATTTTTTAACTTATTTAAAAGAAAAGTAATAACTGAGTCCTCTAATTCCTATTCAACCAAAATGATGAAACAATACACACAAAGCCATGACTGCTATATTTCCTGTGCTCCCTTTGGAATTTAATCAGTGAGCCAGATTTTTGAAAACATAAAGTTTCAAATATTATCTGAGAAGTTATTAGACAGCCAGGTCTAAAGCAGAACTAATGTTGCTGTCAACTGATACCTTTCTGCTAAAATGGTTTAACTCTGCTCTGGATTAAGCATCATCTAGCAAAATAAGCAGTATTGAAATTTTTGATAAAATGCTATTAAAATTCCTAAAGGGATAAATCAAAGTTCAAATCTTTTTGAGACAGTGTCACTATGTACTCCCAGCCGGCCTGGCACTTGCTAGGTTGGCCAGGCTAGTCTTGAAGTTACAGAGACACCCCTACACACTTCTGTTTCCTAAATGCTGGAATAGCATGCATGTGCCACTATGCTTAGCTAAAAGTTCAAATATATGCTTAGCTAAAAGTTCAAGATAAGCATGCACATAGTTTTAGAAAAACTAAAACGGAGGCCCAGTCTGTCCCTCAAATACACAGCCAGCCAAGCTTTAAGGGGATTTGGGTATTTGTGATTACTGAAGAACCCTAACAATGCCTGCTGTGGTCTAGTGGGGCAGAAAAATGAAAAGACACAATGTAAACCGGAGGGAGAAACTTTAACACATTGGTACATTCAGTTCTGGCAAAGCAGAACTGTAGCGTTAGCTGCATAAAAGCTACAAAGCAGGCTGTGATGGTTAATCTTGGTGGTCAGCTTCACTATATCTAGTGAACTAGAACCTAAGCAGCTGGCAGGCATATGTGAGATTTTCTCAACTGGGTCATTTGAGGTGGGAAGACCCACCTTAAATCTGGGCCATACCTTCTGGTGGCAGTGCACATAAAAGGACAGGAAAGAAGGAAGTTTTCACTTTTGACTGCTTGACCTCACTCTTGCTAGCAAGTTTATCTATCCTGCTACTGGAACATTCTTTCTCTGGTATTAGAACTTCCTTTTTCAGGATTCTGACATACACTAAAGATCAGTTGAGACATCCAGCCTCATGGACTGAACAAACTACCAGATTCTTAGCCTTTTTGTCAGACAGCCATTGCTGGACTTTAATAAATCTCTCTCTTTCATTCCCTCCTCTCTCTCCCTCCTTCTCTCCATCACACACACACACACACACACACACACACACACACACACACACACACAC